GAACACAATGGAGCAGCAGCCGCTGCTGCTGCTGCTGCTGCCGCTGCTGCCGCTGCTGCTGTTGCTGAGGCTGATGATGATGATGATGATGATGCTGAAAAGGACGAAGATTAGATGACGGTCTTGGTACCAAGGTACGCCAGACACGAGCAATGGCATACACAACAAGATGCAATGATCCGTGAGGGAGCGGCAAGTGAATTTCAAAGCAGGTGAGATGATGGTGAACGGAGATGAACCACCTCCAGCTGCCCACGACGGGGCCTAGGAGCAGGAGCTGCAGGTACGTGTGCGCAGGTATGGAAGGGGAAGGCGGTCTTTGTTGACCGGCCGTCATGCTGCTGCAGAAGGATATGAAATCAGCTTGGGAGCTCCCCGATCGATGCCGGACGGTAGTACACACACACACACGGACCCTGCGTAGGTTGACCCAACAGTGTAACTGCCCCAACCACCGGGTTGTGATTTCTTCCGCGACGAACACTGTGCCGAGAATGCAATGAGGAGAATGTTTATGGACGAGGACAGCGCCCAATTGACGTGAACTGTGATCTCATGCATCAATCCAGTTGTGACAACAGAACACAAATTCGCCATATCAATTTACGATGCCCGCAAGGGTTTCATAAGGAGTAAGAGTAATCAACGACCTCACCCGGTAGTCTCATTGCTGACACCAACAGTAGTCCAGTCACTTGCATGTAAGAATGGAATCGCAAAGCAGTCACTTGCTGATCGACAGTCAGTGTGCATGTTCTGCGTCCGAAAATCGATGGACGGCCAGCAGCCAGAGTCCCCCAGAAACTATGATGTGTAGGTATAGGTTTGTTGAATGTTTGTGGTTTTGGTTGGCCGAAATGGACCCGCCCCTGCATCCGCAACCCATAGCCCATAGCTCAATATCAGGTTGTACAACCACAGGCATTGGTTTTTGTCCGATAATGCTTACTGAGGTCTCTAGGTTCGACAGTGCTGTTGAGCGTGATTGGGCTAAGCAAGATAAACAATAACACTGCTTCTGGTAGCAAAGCCGCATTGGCAGTAGTCTGTCGTTTTGGGGTTGAGGGAGCATATGTATATAATAATGCATGAGAAAAGAGCACAAAATACCTTCTGAAGCAAGCATAGTATGACATGGCATGGCGTGGCACGTAACGTCTTTGGCGGTTCGTTTCTGAACCCTCTTGCGTGTTTCGCAGTGCACAGACCAATGTTCTCGCAGTGCAGCTCTTTCCTCGGAGCGGCAAAGTAGTCTTGTTGTCACCTTTGCCGATGAAGTTCCTGGCAATCTCGACCTTCCTGCGTGCAATCCGCGTGAAGTGGTTGTATTTTGCTAGGAACTGAAGCTCAGTCCTGGCCGAGTTCGTTATGCCTCACGTGCTGCTGCAACGCTGTTCGCCTGGGCGTCGAAAGCTGTGATAGAGGCTGCCCATATCTGTTGCGCGATGTCTGCCGGCAAGCTTGTGTGTCACTACGAGGCGCTGCCGCCTCCCACACCCCCAATGCCGCCCACGCCTGAACCAGTGTTGGAAGATGAGGCCAAGGCCGTGTTTGGTTGGGGAATGCCGGGAAGGAATGGAGGCAGGAGGATGGAGATGCTTTCGCTCGTGTCATCGCAGGTGGAAGTACTGCCGGAGCTGTTGCTTCCTGGCGAGGCCGAGTCTCCGGTACAGACCCTTACAGCAGGAGCAGGGCTGGCAGCATGGAGATGTGTTGCAAGCTGAAGAGAACCTGCGCCAGGAGTTTGGGCGACTTGCGCTCAGGGCCATGGCCTTTGTGTGGGCATTTCAGGTACGCCTGTCTGTGCAGCTGCCTGGCTGCATTGATTGAAAGAAGTAACCAGGCACCGTCGGATTTGCCCCACTGAATCTTCAAAGACATTGCTAGCCAAACTGTGCGAAAGCTTGTCACCTAAAGCTTTCTGTCACCTTTGCCAGACGAGGTTTGTGGCAATACGATTCTTCGTGGGGGCGATAGTGCCTCCTGCCGCCTCTGTGGCTTCTTCGTTTGTGTCGGATGCCGCAAAGGCGGACACAAAGCATCTTCGCATCACTGGTCAGTTGCCACCCTGTACGTTCGTTTCACGGCCGACAGGCAACTGGCTGAACATCTCAGCCTCTTCTACCTCGGCATCCTCATCTTTGCAAATCGAGGTCGTTGCAATGAGATTCTTGAAACCCGGCCTTCATTCTGAGGAATTTTCGAGCATGTGCTTGATTCGGGCATATGTGAGCATACACACAGATGGATCTGTAGTAAAAAGCCGAAATGAGATGTCTACAACACACCCGCATGTATGTATGCATGTATGCATGTATGTACGTACATGCATATGGCACCAGTCAGTTCAAGAACTTGGGTTGGCTGAGGATTCGAGCTTAGAGGGAAGTTCGGTTCAGTGAGGGTGCATGCCTGGTTAGCTTAGGCTAGGGTCTAGGATCGCTTAAGTTATGTTGGCTTAGGCTTTAGGGGGGGTTAGGTTAAGTAAGGTTTCAGTTTAGCGGTAAAGGTGGAGGTTTGAGGTATAGGTAAGGGTTTGGGTAGATCCGGATAAGTTGGGGTAGGATAAGTAGGTTTAGGGTTTGGCAGAGGCTAGCACAGTTTAGATTGGGGTTGGCCTCGGGCGTAGCTTGGGGTTTGGTTTTATGTCCGGGTCGGCTCGTTTCGGTCAGGGTAGGCTGGAATAGGTTAAAGGTTAGGGCGTGGGGTAGGTTAGTTCAGGTTGGAGTTTAGGTTGGGTTTAGGTTGGGTTAGGTTCGGTTAGGTTGGGTTGAGATACGGGTTTTCGGCAGGTTTGGTTCCAGGTTAGGGTTTGGGATAGGCTATCTCAGTCTAGGTAAGGGTGGGGTTCGGGTTTAGAGAAAAAGGTTGTTGGATGAGGGCGGGAGTTGGGTTAGGGTTCAGGATAGGTTGGGTAGCTTCGGGTCTGGCATAGGTGAGTGCATTCTTGGTCAGGGTTGGCTTAAGGCCAGGTTTTTTTGTAGGTCAGGTTTGTTTGGGTTAGGGTTCGGGAAAGAAAGTTAGGTCACATTTAGGTTAGGTTCGGGCAGGGCGGGTTGGGTTAGCAGCAGTTTGGGATTGTCAGGATAGCTCGGGTTAGCCCAGGGTTATGTAAGGGCAGGCTGATTCAGGTTAGGCTAGCTCAGGGTCTGGGGCAGGGTAGG